ATGCTTCACACGTATTATCTTGGCTGAAATGTAAATCCTGTAGACTGCACACGTGCTCGGAATGCACGCTCTCTGCGTGCAAGATGGAAAAACCTTTTATATAAAAATACTAACTTGTGTCTTGAGAACAAGTTTTGCTTCCCGGTTTCCTTTTAAGACAAAACTTTAATTTTTGGTGTCGAATAAACTCCTCCTTGATTGTTTTTAAAACACTGCTGCAAACTGGAGAAAAAAAATTTTCAAGACCCTTAATACTCTGCAGTATGCAATCATCATTAATGTGATACCAACATCTTTTATGTGTTGAAAGCATCTAAAAGCACCAACGACTTGAAAGCCTTGACCTCCTTAACTACACAGATCCTATAATTTTCCGTAATTTTTATAACAACACATCAAATTGAGACAAAAAACGAATCAAAAGTGTTGCAAAGCAACACTGTTGCAACACTGTTGCTTTACAACACTTTTGATTCGTTTTTTGTCTCAATTTGATATCCTTAAAACTTGTGTTTTGAAAGAAACTTTAGGGTTTTTTTTAGTGAATGAGTAATCACTCGTTCCCTAAAGGAAAGGAATTAATGAAAGAAGAAAAAAAATTTGTTGTGCGATGATCGTAAAGAAAGTGTTTAGTCGATGAAGCGAGGCTCGCATTAAGAGAGATATTGAGCGTCTAGAGTAGTTGCAGTAATGGTAATGCATCCGGAGCTGGGAAAACGAACAATTCATAGACGTTGGGTGGAATCGACGACGAGGTCGTCCACTGTGAGGCGCCACATTACCGTGTCGTCTTATGCGATATGACGAGAATAGCAACTGTGTATACCTCTCGGGCGTAGATCTAGAGAGCACTGACCTAGTATTCTCTCTCTGTCGACGATTTTGCATCACAAGTCCCTTTCTCCCTCTCCGACGAAATTTTAATTTAAAAACGCTTCTACTACTTTTTCTCTCTTGCATTTATAAAGCGAACTGTATCTTGAAAAGAGAGTGAGGAGAAGGTGAGGAAGGGGCAGCACGTGCGATAGGCCATCACCTTTCTGCCGCACTTACGAGTGTTTACTCGGGGAAACATATCGAAACGACGACACAAGCGTGATGCCTTTATTACTGTGGACAGTCCTCGGTTTATTGTAACTTTTTCGACTTTTTTCCACTATTTTCAAATAATGCCACTTTTATCGGCTTATATTAAAAAATTGCAACTTTTTTTTTTTTTTATAAATACAAATTTTGTTAAAAAGTTCCAAGAGAATTAAATTATTGAAATGCAAAAATAAATAATTCACATCTATAAACCATAAAATTTATTGCCGACATTTTTTCAAATAATTTAAAAGATTTTTCAGCAACAAAGAATTTTCATACATTATCATTCACACTACTACAACTTTTACAAAATCAGTTTTTAAATTTTAATTTAATCATTTTCTGGAATATTTAACTAAAATTCTTCTCTGAATTGATTATTATTAATAATTTTTGAAAAATTTCTATGGAAATTCAATGAATGGAACAAAATTCAAATTTTTTTAAATTTCAATTTGAAATCTCTTGAAATTAGATTATTATTTATAAAAGTTGTAAACGTAATTCATAAAATTCCAGTTTTTTTTTTCTTTGCAAATTTTTAACTAAAATTCTTATTTTAGTTGAAACTTAAATTTTCCAAAATTTTAAATTGAAACCTATTGAATACAATTATTATATTTGATAAGTTTTGAAAACGATCTTTGAAAATTTATTTGTTATAGGAAAAAAAGTTCATCTAAAATAAATATAAAATCCACTTGTTACCTTCAAAACTTTTTTAAATAAATATATAATAAAAAAATTAACTGATTTCTAAAAAAAAAAAAAAAAAAAAAAAAAAAAAAAAAAAAAAAAAAAAATTTAACTTTTTTAGAATTTTTAATTAAATTATTTGAATGTTAAATTTTAGAAAATTTTAAATTGAAATCTTTTGAAATCCAATTATTTCTATCGAAATTGACTTGTAAAAATACACCACAATTCTTACTTTTCAACCAATAAAGTCAAAAACTGTAAAATTTAAAATTGGTGCCAACTTTTTTCGACAAAAACTACATTTTAAAGAGTTAACGCATAAAATTTATTTATAATTTTCTTTTTTTACTTTTTCTCTTAACTACAACTTTTTAAAATTAAATTATTTACTTTAACAATATCTACAGAAAATTTACTCAAAAATAATTTTTAATAAATAATTGTAATGTCACATTTCGCACTCGATAATTACTTTTAAAAATGTAACAAAAAGTAGCTTTAAGTCTGAAAAAAGTAGTAAAAAGTAGCTATTGAAAAATTAAATTTGACGATTAAAAAAAACTCGTTTCAATCGATTCACAAAAATTTGATTCAGTATTTCCGACCTTTGAAAAATAATAAATAAATAATTTTTTATAGGTATTAAATATTTAAATATTATTACAGTTTTACAAAAATGAAAATTTTCAAAGACAAACGATTTAAAAATCTTTTGAAAATTAATTATTTGTAAAAATTCATACTATAACGCTTCTAATATTCTTTGAGGAATTTATTTTAAATTTTCAAAAAATTTCATGAAAATTGTATTTAAAATAATTAAAAATCTGTAAAAATGTTATTAATTATGAAAATAATTAGAGTTTTTGCAAAGACTTTTATTAAAATTTTTTTTAAATAATTTAATTCTTTTTTGAAATTTTATAAAAATAGTAGATATATTGAAAATAATTGAATTTCAGCGAAGAATTTCTTTATTTTGGAAAATTATTGAATTTTTGTGAAAAAAATTTCTTAAAATTTTGGAAAATAATTGAATCGTTTCAAAGAATTTTATTAAAATTTTCGAGAATAATTTATTTATTTCAATTATTAGCCGACTTAAAGTAGTGTAAATTCTAAAATTTTAATTTAAATTTATTTTTTAATAAATTTTTGTTAGAAAGTTGTACGAAAATTAAATTATTTAAATACAAAAATAAATAATAGATTAAATAATTCATTATTTCTTAAAATTGAATTTTTATATAGTGTTTTATCAAAATTTTAAAATATAATTGAAAAAATTTTTTAAGAATAATTGCATTTTTTGAGTGAATTTATTTTAAATTTTCAAAAAAAAATTGAATGAAAATTGTATTTTAAATAATTGGAAATCTGTGAAAAGGTTATTATTTATAAAAATATTTTGAAGTTTTTGCAAAGAATTTTATTAAATTTTTTCGAAAATAATGGAATTTTTTTTGTGAAATTTTCTTAAAATAGTAAATAATGAAAATAATTTAATTTTACCGAAGAATTTCGTTATTTGCAAAAATAATTGAATTCTTGCCAAAAAAAAGATTTTCTTAAAATTTTTGAAAATAATTTTTGTAATTAAATTTTTGAAATATACAATTAAAAAGCTTCTGAATAATTGAAATTTTGTCAAATTTAATTGAAAATAATTGATTTTTTCAAGAATTATACTATAAATTTTGAAAATCAACTTTTAAAGAATTTCAATTTACAAAATTTTGAAAATAATTTAATTCTCAAAAATTTTAGTGAAAAATCTTCAAATGTAAATTTAATAAAAATGAAAATTATTAGTTTTTCATTCCAACTTCAATTAACTTCGAAGAAAGTAAATTATAAAAAAATTTTATATTTTTTAAAAATTCAATTATTTTTCAAAGATTTTTTTAAAATTCAATTATTTTTCAAAGATTTTGTCAAATTTCAATTATTTTTCAAAGATTTTATAAAATTTCAATTATTTTTCAAAGATTTTACCAAATTTTAATTATTTTTTAAAAAAAAATTTTACCACAATTTTTTGGACATTTTTCATTGTATGTAATTGTAAAATTATTGTCTTTCAAAAATTATTTTAAAATATTTTTAGAAAATTAATTTTTAGAATTTCTTTATTAATATTTTTGGAAATATATTCTACCTTTAATATCTTTTAAAAAAAATGGAAAGCAAGGAAAATTTTAAAAAATATTTTTACTAATTTGTGCGAAAGAAAAAAAAATAACTTTTTGTAAGTTTTCGTAAATTTTATTCTTACTTTCTAAGAAAATGTTTGAATTACTTGTATTTTGAGATTTAGGGGTGAAAACCAAATTTCAAGGCGCTGTTAGAAATTCATTAACTTTGAAAAAAAATTAATTATTTAAAAGATTGTGAAAAAAACAAAAAAAAAGTTTTCCAAAAAGATTTGGAAAAAAATTTAAAATTTTTAAAATCTGACTTCTGATTTGTTACTATTGACTCAAAAATCCATTACTTCGTATAAGATTTAAATAAAATGAAGATAATTTTAATTCTTTCGAAAATTAGTAAAAATAAATATGTTATTTATTTAATGTAAATTTTATATTTAAATAAGTTAGATTTATTTTTAAAATAATGAAATTAGGTTTTTTACTTTTTTTTAAAGAAATTTTAAGAAAAATTATTCTTAAAAGCAAATGTATCTATTTTCGAACAAATTCGTATTGTCTTTTATAATTCAAATTATTTTCAATCTTTGAAAGGAGTAGATATAGTGGTTTTAATATCGGCAAATCCTGCGGCTTATTTAACATGAAGTATTTATGAGAAAACGAGACAGGAAAGCCATTAACTCAACATCAGTGGCACGTGAAATTCATACGTGAAGTGAAAATAAGTATAAAGAAAAAACCGACTGCTTTTTGGTTGAAAGAAAGATGGGCTGTAAAATGTTACGAGTTGAAAATAATAACTGTGTGCGCAGCCTCTACAAGTCTTGCAAGACGGCTATTAAGAATAAGAGAGAATATTGCAAGCCTATAATACTTGCTGAATTCTTTTCTCTTTTTTCTTTCTTTCTTTCTTCTTTTAATAAGAACAAAGGTTCTTTTACTTACAAAAATTATTTCCATTTCAAGAAATATGCAGTTGTAGTACATTTTTGGGAATATTGAAAAAAGAAAATATTGAAATAAGTTTTTAATAAATATTTTCTTTTTCTTTTTTTGCAGGTGAATTCGAAAAATGAGTGGTCGACACTCTGTGAACAATTTCATTTACCAAACGGCTGCGTTAATAGCGGAGTTGGACTCAAACAAATCTACCTTAGGTAAGTGAGAGATTCTTGAATATATTTTTCCAAGAAGACGATTTCTTTGGTTGCTATCTCGATTTGCATAAAGGTCTCTACCGAGGGTCACTTTTAAATCCACTTTTTATGTTCATAATCCTGCGACACATAAAAAAGTAAATACCGAATTTAATAATTTTTTTTTTATAAGTCTTATAATAATTTGTTATAAATAAATTTTTTTTCGTATTCAAAAAATTAAAAATAATTCCTTATGGTAAAACACTGGATTATATTTTAATTAAAGTTATAGTAAGTGCAACTTTAACTTTAATTAAAATATAATCCAGTGTTTTACCATAAGGAATTATTTTTAATTTTTTGAATTATTGTTGTTAAAATAAAAATAAATTTTTTTGAAGCAACATTGTTACGCTATCTTTTAGTAATATATACATATATTAAAAAAAACTTTTTTCGTTTATCAGTGTTGCGGCCTTTAACTTTGTAATGAGCCATTTTCTCTGAAAAATGCCAGAAAAAATGCAGGTTATTAACTAAATTAAAAAAAAAAAAAGTTATATAATAATTATTTTATGACAAATTTTCAATTTTTTATAAAAATTATTCCCATTTACCTCGAACATTACAAATTTACAATTAATTATTAAATATTCTTATTTTCAGAGTAAATTCTACTGTTTTTGAAATAAATTTTTCTAATTTTTTAAAGAAACAAAATTGTCTTTGAAAATAGAAAAAATTATTCTGGAAATAATAATTTTTAATATTAAATTTTACTATTTTCGAAGGAAATATTAATAAAATAGTACCTAATAAAAAATTCAATTAGTATGTTCAAAATTTAAAAAAAATTCTTGTCAAGATTCCAATTATTTTTAGAAATAATAAATTTCTTCTCCAAAATAAAATTATTTTCAAAAATTTTCCTCAATTCAATGATTTTCAATATCAACTATTTTAATCAAATTTTTCAAAATAATTCAATTATTTAAAATTTTTTTAATAAAATTCTACGCAAATATTTAATTATTTCCATAAAATTATAAAAATTGTTGATAACCAACAAAATTCTCCCCATAAAATCAATTATTTTAAGGAATTTTCATGAAATTCTTTTTCAAAATTCAATCATTTTGATAAATATAAAAATTCTTCTCAAGAATTCAATTATTGTCAAAAATTTTAATTCAATTCTTGGCAAAATTTCAATTATTTAAACAAACTTTAATAAAATGCTTTGGACGAATTCAATTATTTTTAGAAATTTTAATGAATATCTCGTCAAGAATTCAATTATTTTTATAAATAGCAAAATTTTTCGCCAAAAATTTAATTATTTTCAAAAATTTAAATAAAATTCTTTGCAACATTTCAATTATTTTTAAAAGTTTTTCGCAATTCTATGTTTTTAAATATTTACTATTTTCATAAAATTTATCAACAGATTTAATTATAGAAAAAACTTTTTGATACAATTCTACGAAAAGATTCAATTATTTTCATCGTAGAATTTCAAATATTTTTAATACAATTTTAAATAAATTCCTTTGAAAAATGCAATTATTATTAAAAATTTTATTAAAACTTGAGGAAAGAATTCAATTTTAAGAAACATTCAATTTTATTCAATAAAACAATGAAATTCGTTGCAATAATTCAAATATTTTCATAAATAACTTTTAATTCGTCGCAAAAAATCAATTATTTATTTATTTTCAAAAATTTGTAAGTAATTTTGCAAAAAAATTTAATTAGCTTGATAAACAACAAAACCGCATAAATTCTTCACGTAAAATCAATTATTCTAAGGAATTTTAATAAAATTCTTTTACAAAATTCAATTATTTTGATAAATATCATTATTCATCAGAAGAATTCAATTCTTTTGAAAAGTAATAAAATAATTTGCAGAAATTAAATGATTTTTAAAATTTTTTTAAAATTTTCGTCAAGAATTTAATTATCTTTATAAATAGATAGGGAAATTCTTCTTAAAAATTAAATTATTGGCAAAAAATTTTGTTTAAACTTCTTCTCAAGAAGTCAATTATTTTCAAAAATTCTTATCATGAATTCAATTGTTTTTATAAATTTTACTAAGTATCTCGTCAAGAATTCAATTATTTTTATAAATAGCAAAATTTTTCGCCAAAAATTCAATTATTTTCAAAAATTTTAATAAAAATCTTTGCAACATTTCAATTATTTTTAAAAGGTTTTCGCAATGCAATGTTTTTAAATATTTACTATTTTCATAAAATTTATCAACAGATTTAATTATAGAAAAAATTTGTTGATACAATTCTACGAAAAGATTCAATTATTTTCATAAATAATAAAAATTTCATTTACGAATTCAATTATTTTCTTCGCAGAATTTCAAATATTTTTTATATAATTTTCAAAAAATTCTTTGAAAAATGCAATTATTATTAAACATTTTATTAAAACTTGAGGAAAGAATTCAATTTTAAGAAACATTCAATTATTCAATAAAACAATCAAATTCGTTGCAATAATTCAATTATTTTAGTAAATATCAATATTCATCACAAGAATTTTCTTAAAATTCTCCTCAAGAATTAAATTATCTTTATAAATAGAAAGGGAAATTCTTCTCAAGAATTAAATTATTGTCAACAATTTTTTTTAAATTCTTCTCAAGAGGTCAATTATTTTCAAAAATTTTAATAAAATTCTTCTCATGAATTTGTTTTCAAAAACTATTATTTAAATTCTTCTCAGAAATTCAATTATTTTTTAAAAATTTAATAAAATTCTTAAAAAATTTTTCAATTATTTTCAAAAATTGTTATAAAATTCTTTAATATAGTAAATTTCATTAAAATTTTAATTAAATTCCTTAAAAGAAATTAAATATTTTCAAAAGTTGTCAATACAATTCTTTGTAAAAATTAAAATTTAGGAAACATTTAATATTATTTATTTTTGTATCTAAATAATTGATTTCTCGTAGAATTAAATTATTGTTTTTCGTACTTTTAACTAACAATTCTGTATAATTAATTTTTTTTAAAAAGTTTAATTGAATAATAATTGATGTTATTCATTTAAAATAGAATTTTAGTTAAAAATTGTAGAAAATGTTAATTGAATTGAAATGATACAAATAATTTTGAAGAAATTACAGTAACAATATTCTTATAATAATAAACTAATGATTTTGTCATTCAGTCATCTTTAATTATTATGAGTTGTTTAATTTGAAAAGAGGTGTTTGAATTTGAAATTTTTTAACATCTTAATTCCAATGAAAATGATTAAAAATGATTAAATATTGATTTTAAATAAAACTATTGATGTTTTCGAATAATTTGACTTTTGTAGAAATTTGTAAATAAATTAAATAAAACATTTTTTTGAGTATCTAATAATTTTGAGAGTGAATCAGAATATTCTTCAGGGTCAGGGAAAAAGTGAAAGTTGTGTTTGTAAATGAGGGAAAAGTCAGAGAAAAATAAAGTTAAATTTTTGTGTCAACCAATAAATTATGATCCCCAAGTTTTGAACGTTCAAATGAACGAAATATTTTTTTGTGACGGGAAAATTAATAATTAAGTAAATAATTAAAATAACGATATTTTTATTTATTTAAGAGCGAGTTTAAAAATACACTTGTTTTTACGAAGCGGAGAAAACCGTGCTGCACGTATGCAAGTCAAAGTGAATCTGTCCTTTTGGTACCTGTTTTTAGGGAAAGTCAGGATGCTTGTCTATTGTTACGTAAGGAATGCAGTCAGGACCAGTTTGTAGGGGAAGTATTTCCTGTGTTAGTTTTCTTACGAATTTTAGAAAAGAGAAAATGCAGCCCCGTGTCACACCTCCCACCTTAGATTGAACTTAGTCTCTAAGTTCGCAAAGTATAATTCTTTTTCTTTTTAGTACAGTTAATGCGTCGCTCATTCATCCTTTTTTTTTTTCTACAAAATAATTTGATACACACATTGGCTTATTAGTTTACAAAGTATGTCGCAGAATACTAATTTATACATGTATACAAAAGTTTGTAGATCATTGATTTATTTACAAGAATAGAAAAACATTTTCAGTGTTTATTAGGAGAATTTCATAGATAAGGATAAGAATTAGGATTTAGGCTTATGAATTGAAAATTTAATAATTATATATTTTCAATCTATCTGCATGGATGACTGATCGATTGTTATTAAAGGATATTTCATAATTATTATTAGGGAGACTTTTAATGATTACTGCAGGCCCTTTCCAATCAGGACTCAATTTATGTTCTTTTGTATTTTCTATCATTACAAGGTCACCAGGGTCGAATAAACGCTGCGGCAATACAATTCTTGCATCTTGAATTCTTTTGTATTTTTCCTTTGACTTCTCTATCCTTGCTTGAGCCTTCTGAATATATCTTTCGTGTCTTTCTTGCCATAACCTTACCAATTCGGGATATTTCAGACTAGGTGTAGTAGCTAATGTAGATGGAATATTAGCGTCGCGTCCAAATGTGAGTTTAAAAGGGCTGAATCCAGTTCCTTCGTGTGTCATGGTATTATAAGCCATGCAAATAAATTTTAGTGTCTGGTCCCATTCAGTGTGTTGATCTGCCATTGCTGTTCTTATCAAATCCTTAATAGTGCAGTGAGATCTTTCCAGAGCACCATTACTTTGAGGGTGAAATGCAGTCGTCTTCACATGTTGAATCCGAAATAGATTTTCAAAGTTTTGCATTAATTCCGACACTAAGTTCTGACCTTGGTCAGTTAAAATGTGCTTAGGAGAGCCAAAAATGTAAATAAAATGGTCAAATAGATGTTCAATAATGGTTTCGGACTGGGTATTCTTTAAAGGAATTAATACAAGATATTTAGTTAACATATCTTGAATAGACAATATGTACTCATGTCCTTGAGCGGTAATGGGTAGAGGACCAAAAATATCCATTGCAATCTTATCATTTGGTGTCGTTGGAGTGTCAGGGATGATTGCTTCCGATCGTCTCTTGATTCGATTTAGTTTATGGGTTT